GAGAGAGAGAGAGAGAGAGAGAGAGAGAGAGAGAGAGAGAGAATATACATGTTACCCAACACAGAAGAGGCAGAAAGCAAAGGGGAGACTTAGTTTTCATGAGTAAAAAGATAGTAAACTGATTCAAGGGTGTTGTTTAATAGGATTCAGTAGATGCTACTTTCTAAGGAACCTTAAAGATATACAGTCTTGCAGCTAGTATACATGGCATGTCAATATGCTATAATTAGGCTACATTGTAATTGCTACATTGAATCTTGGATCCTAAATCTAATAAAACTTATTTAGGGAATTTAAGAGGAGATGACAGAAAATGAGAAAAGTAGGCTATTCCCTCATCACATACTATATATTTAGGGAAATTCCTTTTTTAACTGAATGAAATTGTGAAGGTAAGCAAGTAAGTGAGAAAAATAGAGATTGAAAGAAAGAAATCTTACTCTTATTTGCTTCTTTTTGTGTATTCTTAATGTATGCAGAAAACTTGGCAAAGAGGTTACAGCCTGCATCAAAGGACTCCTTGTACTTGGGACTCAGGTGAGGATACCTTAAAAACAATATATTGTAAAAGATAATGGAAAAATACACTCTTAAATATTTCAACTTATGAATCAAATGAGAGGTAAAGAGGATGGGAAAGATTGAAAAATTAATTAAATGTCCTCTGGTTTGTAGTACAAATTTCATTTAACATAGCTAAATAAAATAACATAATGATGTAATTATGCACACTAACATGTTAAGTAACATCCATATGATTGTGAATAAAGTAAGTGCAGAAAACATATTCACCCCCAAATCAGTGCCTTGTAGAAATCCCTGCACTCCCATGTTCATTGCAATATAGGCTAAAATATAGAAACACAGGCTACAATATAGAAACAACCCGAGTATCCACTGATGCATAAATAGATAAATAAATTGTGGGGGGAGAGAGAGAGAGAGGGAGAGGGAAAGGGAGAGAAAGAATGAACTGGGATATTATTCAGCCATTAAAAAAAGACTGTCCTGCCATTTACAGCAAAATGGTTGAAACTCAAGGACTTTATGCTGAGTGAAATAAGGCAGTCATAGAAAAATACTGTATGTTCTTGTTTGTATGTTGAAAAAGTCAAATGCATGATAAATGAGAATAGAACACTGGTTACCAAGAGTGGTGGAAGGGAGGGCACAAGATGTAGGTCAAAGGGTCCAGGCTTCTAGGCCCCAATGTCAGGTTAGTCTCCTTGGTTCCAGATGCCTAGCCGGCACATCTGCTGACACAGACACCAGGCCAACCTGCCTTGGGACTGCAGTAGCAAACCTTCTCATAGGTCACATGAGATGGACAGCCTAGAATCTCTGGTGAAGGCTTTTCCCAGCTGAAGCCAGTTAGCAAAGACAGGAACAAGTCTTTTTTTCAAATCCAGATTCTAATTAATTGCCACAAGGGTTATAAACAATTAGGAAAACATGATACCATCAAAAGAACAAAATAAAGTACTATTAATCCACCATAAAGCAATAGAGATCCATGAAATGCCTGAGAAAAAAAATCAAAATAATTGTCTTAAAGAATCCTCATGATCTGCAAGAGAACAGAGATAGAATATTAAATGAAATGTGAATACATGAAAAATACATGAAAATGTGAAAAATTTAACAAAAAAGATTATTAAAAAAACCAAGCATTCTGGGGATAAAAGCACAATTACTGAATCATAAAAGTCCACAGAGAGCTTCAAGCAGGAAAAAGTGAACTTGGCCAAAAAAGTCAAAAGGAAAAATGAAATTTGATCAAGTGAACCAGTATTTACAGTATTGATTTCTCACAAGGTGAGGAGAAAGGACAAAAAGGTTATTAAAAGATCTAATGGCTGAAAATTGCCAAATCTGGGATAAAATGTAAGTATCCAGGTATAAGAAACTCAAAAGTTTCCAATCATATTACATCTAAAGACAAGCCTGGTGTTAGTACTGGTAACCCTAGCTTGAAGGCGATTGACAGGAGTTCAAGGCCAATCTGAGCTAATATGGAGTTCAAGACTTGCCTAAGCTATCTAGGAAGACACTGTCTCAAAAAATAACAGCAACAACAACAAAACAAACTAAAGAGGACTACATCAAGACACATAATCAAATTTTTAAAAAGGCAAAGAAAGAATCCTGAAAGCAGCAAAAGAAGTACATTGCATTCAAAGGAGCTCAAATATATCTATCCGCAGTTTTTCAGCAAGCCAGGAGAGAACAGAATGAGATATCTAAAGTATTGAAACAAAGATCCTGCCAACAAAGAATACTCTGCAGTGCCATCCTTCAGAAATGAAGGAGAGCTAAACTTTCTAAAAAAAAAAAACCAAAAAAACCAAACATAACAAAGTGAATGAGTTTGCTGTGGTTTGACTATCTCTACAAAAGCTAGCACTGAAATTCAATGCCCATTGTGAGGTACTAAGAAGGTGAATTTGGGGGTGGGACCTTTAGAGGGTAATTAAGATTGAACAAGACCATGAGGGTAGTGTCCTAAATCTAATGGAACTAGAGGTTTATATATAAAAAAAGGGAGAGACCTGAGCTAGGATTCTTTGTTTTACTGTGTGGTGTCATCTCTCTTATGAGCCAACACAAAGGCCCTCACCAGATGCTGACCAGATGTTAATGCTATGTTCTTAGAATTCCCAGCCACCAGAATCACAGGCTAAAGAAACCTCTATTCTCTCCCCCGCCCCCGTATGTGTGTCTGTCACTGGGGACTGAACCCAAGCAGAGCTAAGCTACAGCCCTAGCATTTTAATTTTGAGACAAAGTCTTTCGAAATTGCCCAGGCTGGCCATAAATTTGCAATACTCTTGTCTCAGCCTCCCAAGTAGCTAGGATTACAGCCATGCACCACCATACCCATGAAGAAACCTCTATTTTTTAAGTAAATTACCCCATTTGAGGCATTTAATTATAGCAGCAGAAAACAGATTAAGTCAGAGTTCTTCAGCACTAGATATGCCGTACCAGAAATGCTAAAGGGAATTCTTTAAATGGAAAGAAAAGGGTACTAATTAGTAACTTCAAAATATATAAAATAGAAAAGCTAGTACATAATCAAATTTGTAATACTATAATTCTGAAAAGGTGGTGTATAAGTTGCTTATATATTTAGTATGAAGTCTAAGAGACAAAACTATTACAATAATGGTAGCTGCAATAATTTTTAAAAATTATATATAATGTAAAGGGCGTAAGTAATGACACTAAAAATTAAATTCAAGGGGAGGGTGTAAATGTAGAGATTTTATATGAGATTGAAGTTATTATTATAAGATGCTTTATGTAAGTTTCAAGGAAACCAGAGTGAAAACTTACAGTAGATGTACAAAAGATAGAAAGTAGAGAAGAAAAAGCATTACAACTTACATATCAATAATTACCTTGAATGTAAATAGATTAAATTCTATAATCAAGAAACACAAACTGACCGGCCAAACGGACTAGAAAACAAAATACGCCTTTGTTCTGTACACGTCCCCTTTACCACACAGACTGAAAGTGAAAGGATGGACAAAGATATTCCATGTAAATGGATACAAAAGAGAGCAGAAGTAGCTATACCTATATAAGGTAAAACAGAATTTAAGGGAAAATTGTAAAATGAAATAAACAAAGGTTATATAATGATAAAGTGGTCAATTCTTTTTTTTTTTTTTTTTTTTGTACCGGGGATTGAACTTGGGTCCTTGCGCTTGCAAGGCAGGCCACCGAACTGCTGAGCTAAATCTCCAGCCCAAAGTGGTCAATTCTTTAAAAGGATGTAACAGTTGTAAATATATGCATGGTCATAATCCATTTTGTGTTGCTAAAACAAAATGCAGGAAGCTGGGTACTTTGTAAAGAAAAGAGGCTTATCAGAGTTTGAGAAGGTCAAGAGCATGGCACTAGCATCTGCTTGACTCTGGTTAGGGCCTCATGGCAAATGCCATCACAGTAGTTGAGTATGTGTAGAAAAGGCAACAGCACCTGCAAAAAGATTTGGGGAGTATCCGGCTTCCTTATCACAACTCATTCTCCTGAGGGCTAATCTAGTTCCATAAGACCTTCATTAATCTCTTCTAAGAGTGGTGCCTTCATGATCTAGTTACCTACCACTAGTCTCCACCTCTTCATGGTTTGGGGTTTTTTTGTTTTGTTTTGATTTTTTGAGACAGGGTTTCACTGTGTAGTTGAGACTGCCCTGGAACTCACTATGTAGTCCAGGCTGGTCCTGAACTCACAGCGATCCTCCTGCCTCAGCCTCCCGAGTGCTGGGATTACAGGCGTGTGCTACCATGCCCGGCTTCCACCTCTTAATTGTTTGATCATGTCAACATCACCACACTAGAGACCAAGGCTCCAACACATGAACCTTTGGGGGACGAATTATATCCAAATCATAGCATATATCCAACATGGGAGCACACAAACATTAATAAACATAAAGGGAGACATAGGGAGCAATACAATAATAGTAGAGGACTTCACTACCCCAAAGTCAACAGTGCACAGATCATTCAGACAGAAAATCAATAAAGATATATTACACTTTACACTTTAGGACAAAAGGACCTAAAAGACATTGATACAACATTCCATCCAACAGCAGCAGAATACACATTTTCTCATCAGCCTATGGAACATTCAGCATGACACAATATACATTAGGCCATAAAGCAAGTCTTAACAAGTTTAAAAATGAAATCATATCAACTATCTTTTTTGTTCATAATGGTAAGAAATTAGAAATCAATAACAGGAGGAATTTTGGAAAATACAGAAACATGTGAAAATTTAAAAAATGTTCCTATACAACCAATGGAGAAAAGAACAAATAAAAAGGGATATTTAATAAATCTTTTTTTTTTTTTTTTTTTTTTTTTTCAGGGTTTTTATCTTTGGTTTTGTTTTGA